AATTCCAATGTTACTTTCAATGTCTACTATTTTTGTGGGGCAATATAATATAGTATTCAGTATTTAAGTGACCTTAAATAAAGAAATATTGTGTGAATTATAATGGGAAACAGCTCATAATTTTACTTTAATTCAACATATTGTTAAGTATAAATTAATTTGTAAAGTATTTTATAAAAAACTAAATTAAAATACTTTAATAATAATAGATGTAATAGTTAACATTAGGAATCAGCTTGATTGAACCAGTTTCCAGACTCTTGGCCAGATATTTTTCTGAGTGCATCTGTGAAAATGTTTTCAATGAGCCTAGCATTTCAATCAATACACTAAAAAAGGGCATTGCCTCCTTAATGTGGGTGGTCCTTATTCGATTAATGTGAAGTCTTCAATAGAATTAGGATGGTAAGAAAATAGAAATTTGGAGACCCTATTGATTGAGCACTTTGTTCTTCTCCTGCCCTTCTCCTGAAATTTACACCACTGTCTCTCTTGGTTCTCAAGTCTTCAGAGTTACATTGAGTTATACCACAGGTTCTCTTGGGTCTCCAGTTGCCTACTTCAGAGTTGGGATTTCTCAGCCTTTATAGTTGGAGCCAGTTCCTTAAAACACACACACACACACACACACACACACACAAATACACACATACACAAACACACTCCTTGATTTATGATTTGACTTATGGTTGTTTTACTTTATAATTGTGCAAAAACAATACATAGTCATAAAAATTGTACTTTCAATCTTGAGTTTTGATCTTTTTCTGGACTATCAATATGTGATACAATAGTCTCTCATGATGCTGCGTGGTGACAGTATCTTCCGGAGTGAACTGCCAACATTCTACAGTGTGCTGTGTTTCTAAACTGATGTTCAGGAGTCTAGGTGTGTTAAATGCACATTCAGTTGACAATATTTCAATTTATAATAGGTTTATTATGATGTGACCCTATTATAAGTCAAAGGTTATGACCCTTCTTCCTATAGGCTATGGTTTTCTGGAGTACCAGACTAGTATGACTCATACAAATGGCTATCATTTGTTAATTTCTTACTATACACTAAGCCTCAGCTGAGGTCCTGTTGTGGTTAACATCACTTAATTTTCACATCAATCCTGTGAGTGAGGTGCTTTCATCCTGATAATAAATTTGATTAGACTGTACTCAGAGTAATTATCGAATGGTTCACCAATGGGAAGTGGCTGATTGGGAATTTAAACTCATGTCTGTCTGACTTTAAAGCCCAGCACATACTGTTTTTAAACACTATTCTTTTTCACCAATATGTCTGAAGAGTTGTTTCCAAAGAAGATTCTTGTCACTTGAACACTGCTTTTGTCTTCCTTTTTAAATTTTTCTTTACTTAAAGAATATTTTTGAAAAATAGAAAAGAGGAAAGATAATGAATTTATCAAATCCTTTTTACCTTCAAAATGTAATTTTAGATAAATTAAAAAACTAAGTCAGTCTTTACAGTTCAACAAAGTACATTCATATATTTCTATTTTATTAAAATGTAGCAATTTAAATCAGCTGTGTGACTTGTTAACAGTTGTAATAGTCATACATGTTCAGATCAAAATTAATCATGACTATCTGATTCTGTCACCTCTGTCAACATAGACCATCACTATCCTTCTCAAATCAGAGTCCTGGTCTGTTACCGCCAGACACTTAATAACATGTGGCAAATGCATAAACTGAGGTCCTGACCATCAATGTAATGTCACCCAGAAGTCATGCTTCCATTTATTCCACCAATAATAAAGGAAAAGAGAGTTGTGAACTGTGACAACTCATCTGTCCTTTTTCTTCACCTTCCTACACCTAGTTAACTCTTACTCTTTTTTTGGGGGGGGGGCGGGGTGTACCAGGAATTGAACTCAGGGACAATTGATAACTGAGCCATATCCCCAGCCCTATTTTTTATTTTATTTAGAGACAGGGTCTCACTGACTTGCTTAGTGCCTTGCTTTTGTTGAGGGTGGCTTTGAACTTATGATCCTCCTACCTCAGCCCCTCAAGCTGCTGGGATTACAGGTGTTCACCACCACACTGCATGCTGAGGGATCCCATGTCCTCTGCCTGAGGGCAGTCTCTGGCCAAGGAAGATTTTTTAGTCTGTGTATACGGAGCAGGCCAGAAGGGCTTGATCATTAATGTTCCAAAGAACATCCACTAACAAATTTGGGGCAATGGTTGATACAGAAATACCCCAGCATCCTTTGCAATAATGGAGGAGGTTTCATACTGTCTTCCAGAGGATTCTAATGGGAATGAGCTCCAGTTCTCCATAGCAGTGAGCTATAAACACATACTTAATTGACTATCCTTTCTTATATCACTTACTCCCTTACTGTGCTTCTTGGGAGCATATTTCAAAATAAATTGCTTATATCCAATCTGTGTACTACTGTATGTTGTTGGGCAAATCCAAACTAAATAGTTTTTCCTGTTTTCTCTTTTCGCTTATGGAAAGAAATCTTGAAGAGAGTTTGGTGATGGTATCTTTGTGTCATTTGTATACATGAGAGGCATAAGAACTCAATAAAATATTATGGCTATGTAAAAGGAAGAGTTTCATGTTTATTTAATTAGTAATAAAAATATAAATGTTAATATATTCACATAATGTGATACTACACAGTGGCAAAGTAGATGTATTTCTTTAATGGGCTGCTACACTCTGTAAATAGTGAATTAATTAATTCCAGGCATACAAATACATAAATATTAAAAGTTAATATTTAAACTTAAAAAAAGCAAATTTCAATAGAATTTTATTAATATAAGTTTCAAAACCTTGCAATATTGTGTTCAGGGACACAAACATATGAGACAAAATTCAAAGAAAACACCACATTCAGGAGAATGATGTTATCCAGGAGGAGGAAAGAGTATGGGATCAGGCCAGAACCTCTGGGGATTTCCACTGGCATCACTCTTTTCTTTAAAGTAGGTAGAGGAATATGTGCACTGATTGTATCATAGTTTCTTGCACTTAGCCTATTTTTCATTAATATTATTTTCTAATTCTTTAATATTGGATAAAACATTTTTTAAAAAATATCAATAGGACAATAACAGATAACTTTGTGATATTGTCTGAGATAAGAATTAAAATAATTGTCTGTATGCTGAAACAAAAAACAAAGGGATAATAGAGAATAGGCTAGATCCTCACCGATCTAGCTTTCCAATAATGACAGGTATTGTTGCCCTTCAACCTCAGTCAACCAGTATACCACATAGCAATGCTTTTCTTTTAGCTTGAATGGTTATTTTGCTAAAGGAAAAATTAGCATTTTTTGCACAAAGAACATTATGCAGATCAAGTGACTGAAAACATTAATTTCTAATTTTTTATTCATTAAATTCAGTCATTTTCATTGGGAACCAATCATCAGGGAGAGCAGGCAATGAACAGCGCAGACCCCTGTGGATACTCCCTTGGAAGCCTCTCTCCACAGCCTCTCTCTGCCTTGTCTGTACCATAATCTGGACATCACTTTTAGTGTCTATGTCATAATCTTCCATGGAGGCTCATAACACACATTTGTTCTCTAGGGGCTGCAGAAAATTACACAGGTCAAAGTCAGAACAAGCTTTGCTTTTTTAAAGAATTTAGCAAGGAACAAAAAGTAAACATGAGTGTAGAGTGCTGTGGTATTTTGCAGAAATTGTTTGAGTAAATGGAGAAGCCTTTAAAGAATCTAGAATATGGGGAGGGTGCTGAGTGTTGATTGGCCCCTGGGCCAAGCTTAAAGCCAGAGTGCCTCAGGAAATGCTTTCCTGCACCTCACCCTGCTCAAAACTATTCTCTGAACCTCTGCTCCAATATTCCTGTTCTTCTCCAGTCTCCCTGTCCTTAAACTTTGATCCTCTGTCTTTATCTGCCCTATAGATAAAATAGTCTGCAGGGTGGGCTACTTAATTTGAGGTTTCCTCCACTGATACTTTTTCTCAAATTCTTCTTATGGTGCCTCTTAAATGATGGAACCCATAAAAGTTTTACCATAAAAGTCAACCTAGTTCTCCATATACCAGGCTAGGCCTGACATTCTGGGCTTCTATTGAGATGGAGAGAGCTTAGGCTGTACCTGGAAACACAAGACTTGTAAGTATGTTTCAGAACTACTATGACAAGCAGACAGGTTAGTTTGCTTTAGGCGATATGGATGGAGTTCTTTTCTCCAGGCTTCTCCCTCAATCTAAGAACAACATGCTTAGCTGGGGAAGAACCCTGAAATCAGAAGCTATACTGAATTTGAGCTTACTGCAAAGACATTCCTTCATAATGGCACATGTTTAAGAGATATCAGCCTAAGTAATTCTCTCTCACCCTCCTCCTCAGATCCCTAAAAGAAAGATTGAGAAGTAGGCTGTTTCTTCCTGGATAATACTCCTCAGCTCTCCTTCCTCTGGGTAAAGTAAGGTATCACACACATCTTGATCTTCAATACTTCTGTGAGATTCTTCTCTATCCCAGAAAATGTACTCCTTTCTTTCTGCTTCATATTCTACCCTGGTCTTAGTATGAACCCTGGAATGTTCTACTGAGTTGTACATCTGCTTCATGGATGTCAGAATGGACCCTGAGAATAATGAGAAGGGTTTGCAATACAGGAAAAATAATTTGAGATATATTTCCAACTTCCCCTTTAGACTCTTGCTTAATGAAAAACAAGAGGAAAACAGCACTGATAGAAGGTTTTTAGGCACCCAAGAGTAGTTACTGCCAGAAGTTTGCTTACCTTCTGGTTCTGTCAGCTTACCTTGGAGGCAGCAGACAAAGACTCTGCACTACTCATTGGGTGGGGCAGGTACTTCTGCTATGCTCTGATTCTGAGAAGGACAGACAAAAGAAATCCACTTGCCTCTTCCTCTTCCTCCTCCTCTTCCATCATCTTCTTTCCAGTGTCCTGGTGTCTTTTCCTCTGTATATCATTCTTTTTTAAAATAATTTCAATTTTGTTTACAGATGTAACTACATATTAATTGTACAAACAGTTGGTTTTATTGTGACATATTCATATAGGCATACAGCATAATTTGCAAATTTAGACTCCAACAAATTTCACAACAAAAATAGTCCCCAAACATAAGGCTTAACAAATTTGGACATGAAAATGATAGCTGTCCTGATTGAAATGGCATATTTTTTATTTGCAGGATATTTGAACCAGAAAACAAAATCAAGAAACACGGGAAATTAAACCAAAGTCAAACCTTTTCAGTAAACAAAAAAGCTTTCTACTCACATGCTGCATTTGCACACTCAAGGCTTGTTTTCAGGTCCAATCCCTAAAGTCAGGATTTGTAAGTGATACAGAATATTGGTACCTCTGCTTCACCTCAGAGACCTGTCTCAAGTCCTAGCCAGAAGTTTTTTCTCTTCATACAATTTCTTCAAGGTTCTTAAGTACAGGATGTTATTTGAAACCACAGAGATGCTTCTCTCTCACTTCAACAACAACCTTTAGACTAATAAAATGATAGCTTTTCCAATATAGATTTTTGAGAAGGCAATCACTTTAGCCAAGATAAAACAGCAACAGAATGAGAAGAAAACGAGGTGTAGAAATGAAAAAGTATGAAGACAATTAATATTGAGAAGCACAAGTTCCATTTTTTTTTTTCAGCCTACTGGGAAAAACTTCTCTTCCTCTTTAGGAGCCCTCTGATGTCCACAAGAAAAGTCAGAAGACCAACCCTGGAGTCTTCATTCTGCTACTTGTTCCTTACACATCCTGAGACAAATCACTTTAACTCTCAGCATCTCAGTCCCCCATGCTAAAAAATGGAAATAATAATAATACCTTATGCAAACCAAATAAAAGTATTTCATCAGCTCTAATGTGTGGCTGAAGTGTTAGCTACTGATCTCTCTCTACAATTATTCAGGAAGGAAGCCAATCAGGTGGAGGGCCTTCCTCAGGGATGATTTCACCTCCTTGTTTCTCAGACTATAGATCAAAGGGTTTAGCATGGGAGTGACCAAGTTATTCAGGACCTGAACAGTTGCATCCATCCAGGGGCTTGGGGTTGGCCTTAGATAGATGAGGACCACTGGCATGTAGAAAAGCAGGATGGCTGTGAGGTGGGCACTGCAGGTGGAGAAGGCGCGGCGGCGGCCCTCTGCAGAGCGGATCTGCAAGATGGAGCAGACAATGCAGCTGTAGGAGGTGAGGATGAGGAGGAAGCAGCTGAGGGGCATGAGGCCAACACTGATGAACCCCACCATCTCCAGGGCTGAGGTGTCCGCACAAGCCAGCTTCAGCATCACTGGGATGTCACAGAAGTAGTAGTCCACCTCATTGGGACCACAGTAGGGCAGCTGGAAGGTGAGAGTGGTCAGAAAGGTGGCCTGAATGCAGCCAAAAAATGAGGTCCCTGCAGCCAAGATGGCGCACACTCTGTGGCTCATGATTATGGTGTAGCGTAGAGGGAAACATATGGCAACAAAGCGGTCGTAGGCCATCACTGTGTACAGAAAACACTCAGTGCAGCCCAGAAAATGGTAGAAGAAGAGCTGGGACACACAGCCCCCATAGGAGATGGCTCTGCTGTTCCCTGACAGGTAGAACAGCATCTTGGGAGAACTCACAGAAGGGAAAAATATGTCAAAAATAGATAGCTTGCACAGGAAGAAGTACATGGGGGTATGAAGCCGAGTGGAGGAGATAATTGCGAGCAAGATTAGCAGGTTCCCCATGAGGGTGAAGACGTAAAAGGACAAAAACAGGACAAAGAGCATGGTCTCCAGGCCCTCTGTGTTTGGGATGCCCAGCAGAACAAACTCAGTCACCACTGAGCGATTCCTCATAGTTATAAGAAAGTCTGACCCTGAGTAGGGGTATGAAGCACCCAAATTTGAACAACAGAGTCACATTATCAAGCTTTGACTATGTTTTTAAACAGAAGCAATCTGCCGTCATAGAAAAGACAAGAGAAAAATCTATGCAATAATTTCAGGTAATAAGAGATGGAGGTTTCAGAGTCAGTCAATCCAATTTTGGAAGGGATATTTTGTAAAGGTTGATAATTGCCCACCATGACAAGAGCAGAAATTTAGAGTTATACTCAAAACATCTTCAAGTGAGAAAACTTTTTTCCATGGATTTATTCTCTTTGAGCACATTTATATTTGGAAGGCTTGTGATATCTTTAAGTAACAAACTCCAACTATTTATTACACTCTGCAAATAACAGAAAATGATTGTATTAAGATGCAGGTCACTCTATATGAATCCTGGCTTAGCCTTTTATTAGCTGAAATAATAAAAATAACTGGCACAGTGTCTTCCATAGGCCTGGTTTCATCATCTGCTACATGGAAGCCAAAATTTTTACAACAATGTCTGCACAAAACATCCTGGTATCACAGTAAAGTTTATGAAATGTCCATGAAAATATCTGGCAAATCTTCTAGCCACACCTGAATAGTCTCCCTGAACAACTAAGTAAAAATTTCCCTTTATTTTATGCATCTTAAATATAGTTATTTAAGTATTTTTTATTAATGCTGGTATTATGTAATTATTTTCCAATAAATGTTTTGTTAAATAACACTGTTGAATAGACTTAGATAACATTTTCTTCAGAATACATTCCTCTGGATTTTAGAGTGCTAAGTTCCACAGTTTTATCACATGATACTGCCCTTGTTCTTCTAGTACTTTAATTTTTTTTCTACATGGACTTATGGCTACTTAGAAATATTAAACAAAACAAACAGTAGCAGCAAGGAAAGCATCAAGTTCATGTTACTGTGACAAAGCGGAAAGTACAGTGTCTCATGTTGAACTAAAAGAAACAGAAGCACTAATTAGGAAGGTTATTTAAGTGAAGAGCAGGATCTATTGACTGGAAGATGCAGGTTCTCCTTCTCATTATTCACTTAACAATGGTAATAATAATTGCACATATTTACACACATACACACATACCATTTAATTAGTACTTACTATGTTCCAAGGACTGGATCCATGCTGTGAAACTGTGACTTATCTTTTAAATGTACCTATAATAAAAATTTACTATTACTATTACTATTTGCAGATAAGAGATACAAGCTCAGAAATATTAAGTAAGTTGCCCAAGAATGCAAAGCTACTATATGGTCGAGCTGTTTTATTTCATTGTCTGCACCCTTAATCATTAGTCAAATCTGCCATCTCTTTGTCTCTGCTTTCTGAGACAGTCTGCTCCACTTATGGGCAATTATACCCTTCCAGATGTGTCCTCACAATTGCTTTACATGAAGGTGAGAAAAATCTTTGCATCTAAATTATTCCTGGTAATTTGTAGTCTGTATTTTAGACCACACTTGGCTAAATTCTCTTTAGCTTTTAGAGATCATAAAATTGGGTTTTCCTACGCCTTTGATGCTACAGCATAGTACTAGCTGTAGTATAGTAGTATAGTATCTAATATAGGAGCTTTCTCGTTATAGAGCCACATTCAAGATAGAAATTCCAATCATATGCTGTGAAAAGTGCCTCTGAAAAACATTTCTAAAAATAAAGACCATGCCAGAATAAGTCAGCTATACCACTCTAGAATTGGGCAAAAATATAAACACTAAGATAAAAACAATGACATTTTAGGGGGTGGGAGTTAGATTCTACCACTTGTTACTAATTCTAGCCACACCTGAATAGTCTCCCTGAACAACTCAAATTCCTGTGAGCTCTTCACTCCCTCCCCTTGGTTACCTAAGGCTCACAGAAGTCCCTATTCTTTGTCTATAATCAGACACCATGATAATCTCTGATTAGATGATGCTATTTGATTTTTAAGTCCATTTCAGGAAAAAAAAAAAAGAAGCTCAAAGGACCAGAAAGGTCCCCATATGTGGTCTCGTTAATAAGTAGGAGGCAGAGATTGATGGTGAGACCCTGACAGAAGTTTAACCTTGCATTTACCGTTGCTGAGCAGAGCACAGTGTGCTCCAGCCATAGGAGCCGCCATTCCTTACTTATAAAAAATAGAATCTCATGGGGTTTGTGCAACTGAGACCAGCATACCCTCTTTCTCCCTGGGTTGCTTTCTTAGAAGTGCTTTTTACATCCTTTTAAGCCCTGATTGGAACTCTGTGATAGCTCTGAGGGAGCAATTAGTTTGTCAACCTCATTCATCATCTAATCACGAGATAATAGTAATGGTATCATCATAAAGAGGTGCTCTGAGATTGATGGCATGGGAAGATAGGCTGCCTACTAAATATTAGATCACCTGCTATGCTATGCCCACATTTGGTAACCCTTCATACCTTCAAGCCTTTGCTTGTGATACTATTTCTCTCATCACTTTTAAAAATATCTGTGTATCAATGTAACTATGTATTTGTTTCTAGTAAATATCACTGTTTAAGACAGGACTATAATTAGATAATAACTCTTATGCATCTACTAACAGTATGTATCCTCAGGTACATATTTCAAAAGAGAAATATGGGGGAGCCATTCATAACAGAATGACCAAAATAAATATATAAACCGTCTCAAAAACAAATTATCAAAACAGTTATTATTTAGTTAATAATTAATTCTAAGCACTTACCACATAATAAAAGCTGTGATAAAAATTTTCATTTATTATTATACTTAATCTCTAAAAGAAATTTCATAAAGTAGGTGGTATTGTTTGACATAATTTTTTTACAAAACAAAGAGTAAGTAACTTAAATATTAAATAATTAGGAGGAAACTAAGCTGAGACTCTAATTTCAAAGTACTGATAATGAATTCCAGAGATTTGAGTTTTGTACTCAAAGAATAAAAAGAGAGAAAAATGTGGTCTTCAGATGTTTGCAGAACTTGTGGATAGACGTGATATGAGTTGTTTGATAAACTGACTCATGAATCATGGACAGACATAATAGGAAGACAGATGTATTTTAAAAATAAGAAGCAATTATTATAATGTATACATTAATAAAATAAGCAACCTTATGATACCACCTTTTCTCTATCACTGTAAGTATTTAAGAAGATATAAGGAGAACAGTCTTAAGTGTACTATTGAGGATATTCTCATTGTGAATGAATAACTGAAGATAGTGCATGTTCTTTCTGATTTTAAAATTATTTTATTTATTTTATTATTGTACCTCCATCCAAATCCATGCTGTAGACCTGAGTCACTAACTCAGTTGCTGAATTAGGAGATACTAAGAAAGCTGCTGAAATGTGAAGCTATTGTTATGGTTGGCAGCTCTAGTATTAACACACAGTTTATACTAGCAAATACAGATACCCATTGTCCTGCTTTTTGCCACATGACTTGGTTTCAACATCCAATTCTCAAGTGCATCTGACTGACAGAACTTCAATCACATCAAAACCTCAAATGCAAGGGAGTCTGGTAAACAATGTTTTATATTTTCTAACCTCTGCCCACTAGGAGTTAATGTGCTGATCTACCTACCACTGTGATATTCTTCTTTCTCTTTCATTTCGGTGATAATAGTTTCTTCTTCTTTTTTTAATTTTTTAAAAAAACCATATAGTTGTGGTATAATCAACATATGAAAATATTTATATATTTAATGTGTGCAAATGAGTTTAAAGATAAGTATATACCATGAAGCCATCATCACAAACCTGTGCATACAATGAACCTACACACTGCCTCCAAAAGTTTCTTTCACCTTTAAACAAATGTTTAGGTATGAAATGCAGTTTATCATCTATAAGCCCTATGCAGTACAGTAAATCTCTAAGACTTCGTCAGTATAACTGAAAATTTGTGCCCTTTGATTAATATCTCCCTTTCTTCCTCTTCTTCAACACCCTGGCCACTACCATTCCATTCTCTGCTTCTGTTGAGTTTATGGCATTGTTGTGACTGTAAGTTTTCTGTGATTATTTTAAATTTTGTTATGCAACTGGTATAATGTAGGAAGATTTTCCTTTTTTCCAAGGCTAATTTACTCCTTTTTAAAATATTAAGGGTACAAAAAATATCCTAAAACAGATATTAGCTGGAGTCAAGATTAAACCAATTAAATAAGTCCATAGAAGCAGTGTCATGTATCTGATAAGTGACTTGCATCTTATCTTTAAGAGTTCTTAACAGTAAGAACATCATCTCTTACATGAACAATTAAAATGTTAAGAATTTCCCTATTTTGGTACAATACTGAAACTAAATCAATCACTTGATATTGTATTTTTTAAAAGTATTTAAAGAATCTTCTGTGGAAACAAAATTAGCAGAGTATGATCTTAGTTCTTGAGTTTGGAAAACAGCTAGTCAAAATATCTCTAGTTTTGAAACTGAGGATCTTAAAAAGGTGAAATCAGGATGGTATTTCCAATATGATTGATTTTTCTGCTTTGAACATTGAATGCCATTGTCATATCACTGGGTATTGTAGTTATACCTCTTGAGTGATCCACACATAGCTGCAGACATGAAGGTTGTCCATATAGTGTTGTTGTGAAATTTCTGATGTGTAATAAAGTCATAAATATGCAGCTTGTAGGACTTGGGGAGAGAGCAGTTTTGTTTTTAGTGAAAGTAGAATTCAGATCTTGACTACAAGTATATAAAGAAAACACAAAACACTTAATAGCATTTGATAAAAGTTATGATATTGTATACTCACACAAACCTAGATGTATGCCCACTACACACCAGGATATATATTATTGCCTATTTCTCCTAGACTCTAAACTTGTATAATGATACTGTACTAAATACTATAGGCAATTATAACAACAGTAAATATCTGTGTACTTAAACATACCTAAACAAAGAAATTTACAGTATAAAGGAAAATAATACAGGTCAGAAATTCAGATCCACATTAAGAAAGAAGAGTAAAGAGAAGGAATAAATCAAAATAAAAATAAATCTATACTTTTTATTCATAATTGATCTATAAGCTAATTTTAAGGTAATAGTAATAATTCTTTTGGGAGGTAGATGAATAAGTGAAACACATGTATAGGAGCAATTCCATAATGGATGGGAGAAAGGAATTTAGGAACACTGTTACAATGCATAAAATGGTACAATGTTACTTGAATGTGGTCCTAGATTAATTTTAAATGTATATTACAAATTATAAGGCAACAGCTAAAACATTTTTTAAAAAAAATATGTTTAGGGTAGAGACAAAATAATATCACATAAAAGTGATTAATTAAAATTAGAAAAGAAAAAAACAAGATGGAAAGATCAAAGAACAAATGAAACATAGAAAATAGTAACAAAAACAACAAAAAAACAAATAACCCAATCAACAAATGGGCCAAAGATCTAAACAGACACTTCATAGAGGAGGATATACAATCAATTAACAAGTACAAAAAAATATTCTCACCATCTCTAGCAGTCAGAGAAATGCAAAGTAAAACCACTCTAAGATACCATCTCACTCCAGTAAGAAAGGCAACCATTATGAAGTCAAACAATAACAAGTGCTGGCGAGGATGTGGGGAAAAAGGTACACTTGTACATTGCTGGTGGGACTGCAAACTGGTGCAGCCAATTTGGAGGGCAGTATGGAGATTCCTTGGAAAGCTGGGAATGGAACCACCATTTGACCCAACTATTCCCCTTCTCGGACTATATCCAAAAGACCTAAAAAGAGCATACTACAGGGACACAGCTACATCAATGTTCATAGCAGGACAATTCACAATAGCTAGACTGTGGAACCAACCCAGATGCCCTTCAACAGATGAATGGATTAAAAATGTGGCATTTATACACAATGGAATATTACTCAGCATTAAAAAATAACAAAATCATGGCATTTGCAGGGAAATGGATGGCACTAGAGCAAATTATGCTAAGCAAAGTTAGCCAATCCCTAGCAAACAAATGCCAAATGTCTTCTCTGATATAAGGGAGGTGACTCAAAACAGTGTAGCAAGGAAGAGCATGAGAAGAAGATTACCACAAAACAAGGAAAAGAGGAGGGAGGGAAAGGGAGGGAGAAGGGGAATTGCACAGAAGATGGGAGACCCTCATGGGTTCACAAAATACATATACGATGGTGTGAGGGGGAAGGGAAGAAAAAAAAGAGAGAGAAAGAGATAATTGTCACAGTAGAATGGCTAGAGAATAGTGATGGGAGGGGAGAGGAGGGGAGGGGAGAGAGGGAGGGCAGCAGAATACAACTGACACTAGGATTGCAGTATATATACACATGGATGTATAACCAATGTGATCCTGCAATCGTACATGTGTAAAAATGAGAATTCATACCCTATTTGAATCAAATATATGATATGTCAAGATCATTGTATTGTCTTGAGCAACTAATAAAAAAAGAAAATAGTAACAAAAACAGTAGATATTATCCAAATAATATCAATAATTACTTTAAATATAAATGATCTAAATACACTGTTTAAAACATGGAGATTGCCAGAGTAGATTATCTAAAACAAGCAAAAAAATAAAAAAACACCATGTTTTCTGTAAGAAACTTTCTTTAAATTAAAACAATTTTATAGGTTGAAGTTATGGAGAAAAATGTATTAGGCTAACACTAATCACTAGAAATCTGGAGTAGAAATGTTAATTTTA